AGTTAAATGAATAGTACTGACAATAGAATTGTGGTTGTGGAGTTTAATTTTACAACATTTAGTAATATTCATTAATAATGATTAAAAGTATCTACAGTTTTATTGGATAGCTAACAGGTGAAAGACACGTTTCAAGACGACCGAAAGAGTGACAACCTTTTTTTTGGTTGAAATTTTCCATATGAACCATTGATGGTTTAATAGTCCCTCGACTTTGTTGTTTTATTTTCTCGTGCCGATGAGTGATGAGTGTAAGCCAGGCGTTCATCTTTCATTTCACCCTTCGTCTGAAAGGACAGTCCAAAAATAAGGTGAAAATTGTGTTTTGTTTTGTTAGGTAGAGGTGAAAACAAAACAAAAAAATGATTCAAAGAGTGGGAGATATGATAATAAAAGTAAAAAGATAAAATTGTAAATCAACTCTCTTATGTTGTCTCTTTTGGGGGAAGCATGCAATCGCTTGAATTAATAAAGATTAAACTCTCTTATGTTGTCTCTTTAATTTTCCCGAGTTTGAGACAAAGCAAAATGAAGATAAAATCCCATTTGGACGTGATGAAGCAATTTCATTTCCCATTGGAAAAAGAAACGCAATCACTTTCTTTGCAAGACACTTGAAGGCAATTTCAGGACCACCAATGTTCATCAAAATTGAAAGGTAACATCCAACGAAGTAACTAACTAACCTCAATAAATGAAATAGCCAAATGCTTCCAATTTGCTTCCAAATTCACTATATGGCGATAGGAATGAAAATGAAGCATATCATCCGACCAAAAACCACTAATCATAACGAGTCCAAAACATTTTAATTTTATCTTTAAAACAATTTATATCACATTGATTGAGTTTTTTCACAAGACTCGATTTAACATTAAATAGCAACTTAAATATGACGTTAATTACATTAAAAAATAAGTGTATCAAACTTTCAATAATCATGCATCTATTACTTAAATAATTTAAATTAAGGTAAACTACTTAAAATGACCACTTAATTATGAGATTGGTGTCGATATGATCATCATACTTTCAATTTTATCAACATGACCACATAAATATTTAAGTGATTTCAATCAAATCACGTGCCGTTAAAATTGAATGGAGCAGCTGATGTGACAGTTTATAAATTTGGTATAATTATATATTTAATCCTCATAATTTATACATGCTATCAATTTGATATTAATTTTAAATTAAATAAATAAATTTAATCCTCTAGATAGTTGTTTGAAATACTCTAGGAATATCATGATTCTCATCAAGCAAAACTCCGACTCTTCTAGGTGTAGCCACAACCACATGCGGCCTCGAGACCAAAGCTTTCGCCTACGTAATCATATCCATTCCACCTACCACCATTGAACACCGCATATGTAAACAAGACCCTAACGCTCTAAACTGCTCTGCCAACTGAAAGCGAGTTCCCTCGTCGGAGTAATCTCCAACGCAAAACCACCCATACGGATCCTCCGCTAAGCGATTCAATATCGATAAAGCAAAGGTCGTCGTTTTGCCACTTCCCGTTTGAGCTATCCCTAGCATGTCGCAACCAACAAGTATTTTAGGTATACAGTGAGTCTGAATCGACGCTGGCTCTCTCATCCTGAGTTCTTTGTATGTCCAGATGGCCCATTCGACTAGGCCCAGGTCGGAGAAAGCGGAAATTGAGGCAATGATGTTGGTGGATGAAGAGGAAAACTTTTCTAGTTGGAAAGTGTGTGGATCATTGTTCAGATAGGGTTTAGGGCTTTTATTGCCTTTGGATCTTCGGGGTTTGGAGAGAAGAAGAAAGCTTTTGTTAACTAAAGTGGGGGGGGGGGATTTTCTTGTTCCTGTCCTCATTGCTCCATCATGAATTTACTGCTTGGAGAAAGTGAAACCCTGAGGAGGAAGGAAGGAAAGAAAGAATACAATAAATTATTATTCAAATTTGCAATATCCCTCATTGTGAATTAAACAAGCAAGATGAAGGAAAAGCCTAAAAAGCCCAGTGATAAGGACCAAATTGATTAAATTTATTAATTGGAGTTATATGAGGATTTAATCTATTGATTTAATTCAAAATTAGGACCAAATTGAGATAATGTATAAGTTATACCAAATTTATTAACTTTCATAATAGATGCTCTATTAAATTTTGATGACATGTGCTTTGATTGAAACCACTTAAATACTTATATGGTCACATTATCAAAATTGAAAGTATGATTTTCGTATCGACACCAACTCATAGTTAAGTTAAGTGGCCATCTAAGCAGTTTTCCCTTTAAATTATTATATTAAAAAGGTCAACTAATTTTTAATGACATTCCTTTTTTTAAAAAAAAAAACACCTTTAACCTTTTTTTAATAAATTCTAAATCTAATACTAAATCCCATTTAGAGAGGAGGGAAAAGAAAGAGGAGTGTTCCTTAAGGTCTAGAACTCTTTACTTAAGAAACTACGAGGGAAAAAAATTATCAACTTAAATAACCGACAAAATGTACTCACTCACCTTAAACTTAAATAGTCTATACAATAGACATAAACATGTTTAATCCCCGTTTATTTTGTGCCTCTGGATCGTAGTGTTGCCGGAATTATTTGTTCTAAGAATGTTAATCTTAAGTTTATTCCAAGAGTGTGTAATATTGAGTCGGATGCATTAACTAAGCAGGGTATTGTATGATGTTGTAAAGGTCGGGTTGTTTGTTTTGTTGTTTTGAGGGGTTTGGTGCGTTGTTTGTGCACTTGATTGTTTGGATGTTCTTAATAATATTTTTTTGGGTACTCTTCTACATCTGTTATTAGGCCTGTCTTCTTATAAATAAAAATATACACTTATTATTTTTATATGAGAAAAATGAGATTATTTAAGATTAATATTTTTTAATAAATTCTATTTAAGATTATTTAACATTAATGTCATGTCTTCATCAGTACACCGCATGTTTCGCTAAATGAAAGAATATTGAAATCTTTTACTTTATGTAACTTTTCAATATCCACGCGTAACGCTTTGACGGTTAATTTTGTCTTCAAAAATATTGTCGTAACCTTTAATTTTTATCGATAATTTTATATCTGGTTTGGTTTTTTTCAATTTATTGAACTTAAAATTTTATTTTATTTTTGTAAATGAATATATCATTATTAGTTAATAAATATATTTTTAAAATGAAAAATTAATATGTGATAAAGTTATATTTTAGAATCTCTGAAATTTTAAAATTGTGATATAATTATTTTAAAATTTATTTTTGAACTATATAACTCGTAAGACCAAAAGCTTAGCTATGAAGGCAGAAGTTAGGATTCTGAGCTAATTTTGAAGGTCAAAGGCGAGTGGATAAGATCCAAATTCCCAAGTCTGCTCATTTGGCTCTTCTTTTTCTCGTCTTTTAACGGACCGTTGAATGTTAACACTTTAGTTCAAGTCACAGTGTATATATAAATATAAATATAAATATAATTATAAATTATTTATATAAACACAAATCTAATCATATTTTAAATAATTTTGAAGCACGTTCTATATATTAATTTATTGTACTATGTAAAACAAGTTACAAATAACCCTAAGAAATGTTGTATTTTTTTTTCTCCCAAGAATTAATCTCACCTCCACAACACGATACCCAAAGGGTGACAGCTCTTATTCTGATGAGGCGTGGCTGTCCTACATTTTGGGTGGAAGAGCAAGGGGAGAATTTTTTTTTGGTACACTTGAACAAAGCAGTAAACTAGTGTAGTGTCTCAACTGGCGCTCCTCATTCTTATCCGTTCCCAACAACGCCTGAATTTCAGATAGAGGCAACTTTAGAATAGATGAATCATTTTCTTGTAGAAGTGTCAGATTCGCAAGTTTATCAGCGCATTTGTTTCCTTCACGCCAGATGTGCCGAACTTCAATCACTCATCCTTCCCTAAGGGGAGAATCTTTGTCTGGAGGTAATACGTGACGAGTAATGTGGCTGCCAAGAAAGATGATTTCCCATTCGAAGTACTAAATTATGGAGTTTCGTGCCTCCGCCGCAACGAACTATTGTGAACGGGGCGGGAAAAAAGAGCAGAACAAAAGGCAGGCAACTAGACAGAGGAAATATGCCGGCTACTGCCAATAGTTGTTTCATGCAACCGCACATTTGGCCCTCCGCTTTACTGCCCACCGCCAAACCATCATGATTCTCTCACTTCCCCACTAATATTCCAGTTTTATATACGTATTATTTATAATTTATATTTGAAGTAAATAACGTCTTTCAATAACATTGTCTGAATGGAACTTTTTCTCATTACTTGTTATAATTTTGCTTTTATTACGTTTCTGAGGCTCACATCCAGGTGAATAGATTACCCAGAATCTGAACAGGACTCTTCTTCCTCTCTGCTTCCTTTTACGTATTTATAGCATTGCACTTTCAATCGCAGCAAACCAGATCTCAGCTCTCCCGAAAATATTTAGTTTCCCTCTCAACACATATATAAATCGATCTTTGAGAACAAAATGTTCTCAAATTTCAGTTTTTTGTACGAATTCAGCTACAAACACATATAGACATCCATTTTTCAATCCATTCTAACAGCCTCTAATGCTTTCACTTTCTCCTTTACTTACCTCGCATCGGTACGATTTCTCACCTTGCGTTGTTTTTAAATTAATTAGCTACATTATATTATCTTCATCTTTGTTATTGATCGAATAAAAAAAATTGCAGAGTAATTAAGAGTTTTAGATTCTCTGGCTTCTTTCTCCATTAAAGAAAGAATAGTTTAACGCCAGTATTTAATGAGGACGGAGATTTTCAAGGATGGCGGATACTTGTAATTAAGGGCATTTTGTTTGCAGTAATAAGTAGTCAAAATGTCGGAGATTCAAACTAAATTAATACATAGATTTCATCGAACACTTGTCTCATGATGTGGGGTTCCTACAAAAGGGGCACCATCTCGTGTATAACTAGGCATATAGTTCCAATACCCAAAAACACACCCGTTTCGTAAAGTCCAACACCGATCGAACCTTGTAATAATTTGGTCACCGTCCTTTATAATGTTTTCCACTCCTTTCCCAGAATTCTACCGACACCCCTAGTTTTCAGCTCACAATCTTCTCATGGCATAGATTTCTTCTCTAACACACAGGTTGGTTATCGTTTCTGGCCAGTCTAGGTATATTGTTTAGTCCTGCTGCATCAACGATCTTATACGAAGCTACCTATGGCATGCACATCGATGGCATGGGCTGCCTCAATGGCCAAAAACGACGGATGCAAAGAAGAGATTGATGGGATTCATCGATCCAGTTCGGGTGTTAATCTTAATAAGAGAGTCGGCATTCGACGGTCTTATTTGGAGAACCACCTTTGTTACTCTGCCAATAGGATACTTGCTGCATCAACTAGACCAACCCTCAAGAATAGCAGGTCTTTCGGGATTTTCCCGCCGCTACCGTTTCAAATATCCGGCTCCATGATTCCGAAATCTGTTAGATCATTTTTGTTTGATCCGGAGACAAGTAAGGATTTGAATATGGCGGACAAGGATGCGGATGTTATCGGTGAAGAGAAGGAAATGAAGAGTGCTGATTGGTTGAAGAGGTTGATGGAGATCCGTAGAAGCTTTAAACATAAACAACTCAGAGAGAGTTTCGAAGTAAACAGAGAAAATGATGAGAATGATTCTCGAAATGGTGATGGAGACGAAGGCGAATGTGAAGTGAACTACGACTCAGAGGAAGAGGGAGGTGAAGTGAAATACGACCGTGATTCTTTCTCGAAGTTATTGGTTCAGGTTCCATGGTCTGATACAAAGCTGATTTCTCAGCTGGCCTTCTTATGCAACATGGCTTATGTGATACCAGAGATTAAGGTATGCATCTTCCATTTTTCTTTTAATTGTCAAGTTTCCGTTGTATAGAACTATTCTTAATTATGTCTTATGATCTAGATTTGTAGTCTTAAATCAAATCAAATCAAATCAGTTGATTATTCTAGTGAAATACATGCAGGAAAAGGATCTAAGAAAATATTATGGTCTAAGGTTTGTAACATCATCCCTTGAAAAGAAAGCTGAAGCTGAAGTGGGAACAATCAAAGCAAAATTAGATCAGGACTCTACTCGTGTACCTGTTGCTGCCCCAGAAACTTCCGAGTCCAGACCAGAGAAAGTCGAGGGTAAAGAGCGGAAGTGTCCAATCCGATTATCTGTTGTTTATGAGATTGCTGCTTCAGCTGCATGCCGCATCCAGTCACAGGCAAAGGGCCTTTTGTCCACTCGCTCAAAGACAGAGGAGGGGGAGGATCAAATGGATAAATGCAGATTTTCAGACCAGCCAGAAATGGAGAACGAGAATTCGCCTCGAGTATATAACTCAGAGGTGGCTGCTTTTATGGCAGCAGAAGCAATGACTGCTGTAGTTAGAGCTGGAGAGAAGGAAAAGCAAGAGACAGCAAAAGACCTACAGTCACTGCACTCATCACCTTGCGAATGGTTCGTCTGCGATGACTTAAGCACATACACTCGTTGTTTCGTAATTCAGGTATAGTAGTTCAAATCTTTTGTCATCCATATAACCAGATTATCGAATCTTGATATGTATGTAGATTAATGTTCATGTATATTTGCATCTATATGATATAACTGAAGTTGAATTGCAGGGGTCAGACTCTCTAGCGTCATGGCAGGCCAACCTTTTCTTTGAGCCTACTGAATTTGAGGTGAGCTTAATTGTTTGAGTACCAAGTCCAAGAACTCTGAATGAGAACTCTTTAAACTAGTGTAATTGTATCTGTGATAAACGGAAGAATTAGAAGAGTTACTGAAAAATCTAATACTTTGGTTCTCTCTTAGGAAACTGATGTGCTAGTTCATAGAGGAATTTATGAAGCTGCAAAGGGCATATATGAACGATTCTTCCCAGAAATTATGGACCATCTGAACAGGCATGGAGACCGTGCGAAGCTCCAGTTTACCGGTCACTCCCTTGGGGGCAGTCTTTCTCTTTTGATTAACCTGATGTTGTTGACTAGGAAGGTCGTAAAACCATCTACTCTTCGACCCATTGTCACTTTCGGCTCACCTTTTGTGTTTTGCGGGGGCCAAAAGATACTAGATGCATTGGGGGTAGATGAGAACCATGTTCATTGCGTGATGATGCATCGAGACATCGTCCCTAGAGCCTTCTCCTGCAAATATCCGAACCATGTTGCCGTTGTCCTCAAGCGTTTGCCCGGTTCCCTCCGGTCTCACCCCTGTTTGCTTAAAAACGTAAGTAGAAGATTGACCTAGCCTATCTCATTCATTTACAGCATGTAGTAAATCTAGCCTATCTCGCTCATTTGTTTGTTTCAATGCAGAAACTTCTGTACACTCCACTTGGAAAACTATTCATCCTCCAGCCGAGCGAGAAGTCGTCTCCACCGCACCAGCTAATCCCACCGGGAAACGCTCTTTATACTTTGGATAAAACACATCCCGGATACTCGATGCAAGCTCTTAAGGCCTTTCTTAATTGTCCCCATCCATTAGACACCCTCAGCGATCTCACGGCCTATGGCTCGGACGGTGCGATTTTAAGAGACCATGACTCCAGCAACTACTTGAAAGCGGTCAATGGGGTTCTAAGGCTACAAAAGACTGCCGTGCGCCATGCGGGGATCGAGAAAAGCTTGTTATGATCACTGCTTACTTCGCCGTCTCCACACTCATGGAGCCATGATAGAAGTTTAGAGAACGTCATTTTATCAAATAAAGAGATAATGACCGGTGTGTGAATACTCTGAAGCCTTCTTCTCTATGGTTTCTCCATGGATATAGCTAGCAAAGTTAGCTTCTTTTTACCATAATTGTAATATTGAAGAAAAAAAGAACGTAGAAAAAGGAACAAAACAAGACAATCCTTGTACATTCCCGAACCCAGTGTCTTTTGCTGTGTCTAATGTCAATAATCTGCATATATTGTTCAGTCATAAATTTTTTTTTGAAGGAATAAAAGCTTATATTTCAATAGCATCATCAATTACAAGTTGTTTAATACAATCAGGTTCATCCAGGAAGAATCAAACTAGATTGTGGTTTGATAAAGCTCATTAATCTAAGGAATGAGCAACTCTATTAGCTTCCCTACATATATAATGCACTTTAAAGGAAGGGTGGTCAGTTAAAATCAGTCTAGCCTCATTGAGCAACAATCCAATTGTAGAGATATCCTGGGTCTTGTTAGAGTTCTGTTGAGTTAATCGAATGACGAAATTGGCCAAGAGGGGGGTGAATTGGCAATAAAAATTTTGTGGAAGCTTTTGCAGAAAATTGAAAGTAATTGCACAACGATTTACAGTGGTTCGACTTTCTCAAACAAAGTCTACGTCCACTACCTTAGCTATCCACACTAAGGATTTTCCAACAAATTCACTAATTTGTTCTTTCTTTTGAGGCCAAAGAGATAACCTTACAATTCCCTCAAGAGTATACCCCAACTCTTGATAACACTCTTTTCTCAAAGAAGATTACAAATTTGCAAACTTACAAGAAAACCTCACAAGGTAAGATGTTTGCACAATTCTAGAACAAAGAAAAGAACACTCAAAGATGAATACAATTGAGCACAAAAAGTGTTCTTGAAAGCAAAATGAATATTGAATGAAAATAGGCTTGAAATGCTCAAACTTGAGGTTTGATGCTTTCTCCTTGATTCTCTCTTGATTCTAGTTGCTTGATGTTTCTTGTTGTTGATCAATGGCTTCTAAGCTTGCTTAAATATACCTTGGATCACTTCTGAACGTTGGGGATGATTAGAGAATATATTATAGCCGTTTTAGTGTGAAAACATTTAATAAAACAGCTTGGAGCGTGGGGGGAATCGGTTCCCCCTCATAGGGAATCGGTTCCCTAAGTGTAAAATTCAAATATTTCGACCGTTGAACAGGGGGAATCGGTACCCCCTTGGGGGGGATCGGTTCCCTCCGAGCATACTGGAATTCTCGGAACAAAACTGTTTAGGGGGGAATCGGTTCCCTCCGAGCATTCTGGAAATCTCGGAGCCAAACTATTCAGGGGGGAATCGGTTCCTCCTATGGGAGGGAATCGGTACCCTCTGAGCAATCTGGAATTTTTGGCTTTGAATTGGTTCGAAATACTTTGTAAAATTATTTTGAAATTGTTTTATGATTAAAACTTAATTTTACACTTAAGTAAGGATTAAAATGATTTTTGAAATATTTGGAGTAATGTTTTGATATTCGAATAGTTATATCGAATATACTTAGAAAATCATTTGGAAAATCTTAAAATCCATTTAACTTAATTTGTTATATCGAAATATCAAAATGTTTCAACAATCTCCCCCTTTTTGATATAACAAAACATTTTAATAATTTTAAGATTTTTGAAATCAAGTTCAAGTTTTGAAATTACTCCCCCTTACTTTAACACTTCCTTCAATTTATCATGTAAAACATTTAACACTTATTCTTCTCCCCCTTTTTGTTAAATCAAAAGACATTGTAAACAAGGTTTTGAAATCATTTAGCCAATTGATTTATTAATTATAAGCTTAAGCTGCTAAGATCACAATCAAAAGAGAGGTTAGCCATTAGTTTCACAAATCAATATTCATAAATAATGTGATATGGCAAAATTGGTCATATTGCTAATGATGATGTAAATGATGCAAAAATGAATAAAACACCAAACATATAAGTTCACACCATTCATAAATCCAAAATCCAACAATCCACAAAATCAAACAATCCAAAATATCCAAAATGTTGAAACAATATTCTTTTTGTTCAAAGTTTTAAACTAAACACATAATCAAACATCCGGATCGGTAGGAGGAAAACGGGCTCGCATAGCGGCCATCTCGTGTGTGAGTTCATTGATACGAGCGTTGGTTGATTCATTGTTTGCACGCATCTCCCGAAGAATCTCTAATTGTTGAGCTCCCATTGTGGATAAATGAGACTCTATAGAGGAAAAGCGCGAGTCCATTGTAGCGTATCGGAAATCGAATGTCTCCATAAAGGATTGAAAATATGGAGGCATTTGATGCGTTTGTTATGCTTGCTCCTCGGGCTGCTCTTCGGGTTGTTCAGGTTCTTCTTCAGCTTCATCAATATCCCTCATTAATTGTTCAAACTCGGGATCTTCGTCAGCCTCGGGTGGAGCTTGTGAAGAACTAGCTCCCGGAGTAGAAGAACGAACCCATTCACCGGTTTCTTTGTTCTTTACCCATCCCGCTCTCGTTAAGGAAAGAAGATTGATTTGTTTCTTAAGAGGAAAAACGGCATCTAGACCGACTCTAAGCCCAGCTTTGGAAAACAGATTACTCAAAAAGCAACCGTAAACTAGAGATGAACAGAGTTTCTTGTTAGGAACAAGATTTACGGTTTCAACAATTTCAGCAAAAATAATCTGAGGTAGGTTAATTTTAATACGGTTTTCGAAACAATGTAACCACCAAAGATCCAAAGCTCTAAGAGTAGAATAACGACCTCCGGATGGTCGAAACCACCAAGAAATCATTAGATGAAGAAAACGCTCATGTAGGTCTAAGACACTCGCACTATCTCTTCTTTTATAACGAGAACCTAAAATTTGTTTTCATTCGAAATACCATCATTATCTAATCCAAATGTATTGGCTATATATGCCGGGTCAATATATAAGAATTGTCCTAGAAGGTAGGAACGAATTCCTATGGTTTCGGTTTCATCTTGATTTTTAACACAAACGGCATTAGAGTAGAATATGCGAACAAGTTGATGGTAAACGATGGGTTCAAGATCAAATAGTTTATCAAATTTCCATTCTTGTAAAATAGGAAGATATTTAAAATCGTTAGCTAACATAGCTTGACGAGAAGGAATACGTTCTTCCCGGATTTTGTAAGAATCGAAATATTGATAATACCAATATCGGTGATTTCTAGACCCAGGATGATTGAAACACGAATTTTGGATAGTCAAGTTAGGATCAGTGGGATTGGGATTAGAAATTGGAATAGAAGGAGGATTTGGAGGTGGATTTGGTTGACGACTAGAACGACTAGATGAAGACCTAGGACGTTTAGGATTTGACATGGTGAAGGAAATCGGAATAGATAGAATAACCTGCAATTTTAAAACAAATGTATGCAATTCAATTAATCCCAAAACTCAAATGAGTCCTCAATATTTCAAGATTCTCTAAATCAATCCTAATGGGCAAAGTTTTTGAAAAACTTTTGAAAAATATGGTTTTGAGAAACAATATATGTATAGTTTTTTATAACAACAACATAATTGAATCAAAACACAATAATTTGAAAAATAACATTTTTTTTATTATTTAGAAAATTTAAAAAAAATTGAAAAATTCTTGTGTTTTTGATGAAATTAGTTGTAACATCTAGTTTCTAATCACTAAATAATCAATGCCCGATCACTATTTCAACCTAGAACTAATTGAAACTAATCCTATGTTCAAAAATAATGAAATAAAGAGTTTAGAAAAAATTTACCTTGAAAGATGAAGATTGAGGGGATTTAGATGTTGTTTGCACGATTTTAATGATTCCAACAGGTTTAGAAGATGATATTTGAAGCAAATTCCGATTAATATTGTTGATTTGAGGCAAAAATGGAGATTTGAGAGATTTAGAGGGGAGAAACGGCGAAGAGAGAGGAAGAGGGTTTTTGAGATTTTGGGGTTGTTCTGCCCGATTTTAGCAGAACCCCAGGGGGGTATCGATTCCCCTGTGGGGGGAATCGGTTCCCCTTCAAAGGAGGAATCGGTTCCCTCAGGGGGGATCGATTCCCTCTGCACCAAAATGCTAAAATCTGATTTTTTTAAGCACAAAATGCTAATAATCTGGATTTTTGAACATAAAATTAATTTTCACTAAGAATCACAAACTCCCCCTAACTAATAGCAAGAATGCAATCAAAAATTATTATTATAAGCATTTTTCAAGATTTATTAAAAGTGCTAAAATTATTTTAAACATTTAGTGAAGATAGGTTGGTCAAACCTAATTCTCTCCTAAGTGTCCAAAATCTTTCCTTGTCTAAGGGTTTTGTAAAGATATCCGCTAATTGGTGCAAAGTATCAACAAATTCTAGAACTACATCTTCCTTAGTGACATGGTCTCTAATGAAGTGATGTCTTATTTCAATGTGCTTAGTTCTAGAGTGTTGGATGGGATTTTTAGTGAGACAAATAGCACTAGTATTGTCACACTTGATAGGAATGGTACCTACTTCAATTCCATAATCAAAAAGTTGTTGTTTCATCCATAAAACTTGTGCACAGCAACTACCAGCTGAAATGTATTCGGCTTCAGTGGTAGATAATGCAACACAATTTTGTTTCTTTGAAAACCAAGAAATCAACATATTTCCAAGGAATTGGCAAGTACCGGAGGTGCTTTTCCTATCTAATTTGCATCCTCCATAATCCGCATCAGAAAAAGCATGCAAGCTAAAGCTAGAGTCTCTAGGATACCAAAGTCCTAAACTAGGAGTGTCCTTAAGGTATCTAAAGATTCTCTTAACAGCTAGTAAATGTGATTCCTTAGGACATGATTGAAATCTAGCACATAAGCAAACACTAAACATAATGTCCGGTCTACTTGCAGTTAGATAAAGCAAAGAGCCAATCATTGACCTATATAATTTAACATCTACACATTTACCTCCTTCATCTAAGTCAAGCTTTGTTGAAGAGCTCATTGGAGTGTTATGAGGTTTCCCATTTTCCAGTCCAAACTTCTTGAGCATATCTTTGAC